CCCCAAAACCCCAAAACCCCAAAACCCCAAGAACCTTTCCACAATAGTAAATTTTAATTTAAATGGAGAAGAAACAAGCAATTAGAAGTTTTGAGAAATTGAGAGAAAATGGGCTTTTAGGGTCAGTGTACAAGGTAGGTTTTGGGGGAGATCGGTTTGTAGGGAGGGAGACAGAGATGGAGAGAGGGGTTTTGGGGCTGATTGGGAGTTTTGGACACTCGATAAATGTTATGAAGTTTTATGGAGATATAAGCGAGTGATGATATTTGTTAAACTCTTTGTGAAGGTCTTCAAGAGAGCTTTGGATGAGGTATAGACAAGCTTTTGTTAATGGGCTCTGGAAAGAGTGAGATAGAAGGATGATGAGAGGAAGTTGAGATTTTAATGCTGATTTTATTGATTACTTTAATGGGATGAAAAATTATTTTGAGTTGTATCTCTATAAATATTTGATTATACTACAAACAGAAGAAGCGATAATAGAGTTCTGAGAGTTTATCAGACACTTCAAGAACAGAGATTTAATAAAATTCCAGAAGATATCCATCCACTATCAAAAAGGAATGGGATGTGATATTTTAAATCACCCATTTAATGTGCTTGAAGAGCAATCATTAGACACTTCATGAATCCAAGTGGAAGGACTCAGCAAGTTCTACCCTTGGAGAGGAGATCATATTATAAAGTACACCCACAGAGCCAAGCTTTCGATGCTTACGAGCAAACCTCAAGTCAATTTTTTACGCCATACTGGGAACGGCATGATCAAAGAAGTAGATCAAATCTGCTTTGACGATATTTTTTTCATGTATCTCAATGATTTTGGTAAGCTTTCTATATACTCCTAATATCTAACCAAATAGATAAATTATCCGAACTCATTGCACCAACAATCCGTTACTCATGCAAAGAAATCAACTTTGAACATTATCCTTTAGAAGAACTTTCCAATGAAAATACAATGAGTGATATGAATGAAAAACTGGTCAAGATATTTCCAAATTTAGACATGGTAACTTTTAGCCCAGAACTATGCTTTTGAAAGCTAATTAATACAGATTTGTTTATTGAATATGTTCAAGAAGGTACAACCTTAAAATCATCTGACCCTAAAACTCCTTGGGCAGTCATGAGAAAGTGCAAGGTGTTTTATAATAATTTAAGCAGTGAAGGGTATGGATCCTTTAGTGCTTCAAGAGTGGTCGTGAATTACGCAGGACTTCCACAGTATAGACAATTTTATAGGACCAAAATTGACTCTATTATAGCTATTGAGAATATCCACTCTAAAAGTACTCATTATTTATCAGAACTAGATTCTTTCCTTTTATAAAAACAGAGAGCAAAATTTTTATTGAGGATAATGATTCTAAGCTTTCTGATTATGAAATCATCATTGAACCTCAAGAATTTGAGTTACTCGTTGGAGAGCGAACACTTACCTCTCATAGACCATCGAGGTGAGAAAATTTAGAGCTGATGTTTACTAAAGCCTGAGCTTCAAAGGACTTTTTTTCAGCTCTAAAGGGTTGAAAATGGACTCATTTTGATCTTTCAATCAGTAATTTAAGAGACACTCACTTATTCTTGGCTGAACTGCTCTCTTTCGAAGTTACTAGGCTCACATTGGAGGTTGATTATTATGATTTAGAGAAAATCACATTAAAAGCTAAGGCTGCACTAATGTCTAAAATTCTTGCTTCAAACTCTATCAAAGAGATTTCTATTATTATAAGCTCAGGAGCTCAGACAGCTAAGAGAGTAGATCAAGAATATCAGCAAATGTTAGAAAGAGTGTTTGGAGAGGAGCCTGATCTGGAATTTTGTCAAAACCTTTACTTTGAAGTGGTAATTAACGACTAAAAAGATGAATAGATGGGTCTCTACAATTGAAAATGCTCTTTTTATTCATAAAATATTACTAAAACTTCTGCTCACTAATTCAATATCTTTAGATTCTTCAGGGGTTTTGGGGTTTTGGGGTTTTGGGGTTTTGGGG